GGAATGGAACCTCCTTTTTTTCCCCACCAACAGAAGGAAAAACCTGTCAGAATTAAGACAGCTAAGCATAACCTATATATGATAGCTGCACTCAAGCATGGCTGAGCAGTGAGATAGAGAAATTAATGCTTATTTCACCCAATTAGCCTATTTTATTAGAGTCACAGAATAGTTTGTGTTGGAAGGAATGGAACCTCCTTTTTTTCCCCACCAACAGAAGGAAAAACCTGTCAGAATTAAGACAGCTAAGCATAACCTATATATGATAGCTGCACTCAAGCATGGCTGAGCAGTGAGATAGAGAAATTAATGCTTATTTCACCCAATTAGCCTATTTTATTAGAGTCACAGAATAGTTTGTGTTGGAAAGACCTTCAAGATCATCTTGTTCCACCCTCTCCATGGGCAGGGACCCACTAGCCCCAGTGAGATAGAGAAATTAATGCTTATTTCACCCAATTAGCCTATTTTATTAGAGTCACAGAATAGTTTGTGTTGGAAAGACCTTCAAGATCATCTTGTTCCACCCTCTCCATGGGCAGGGACACCTTCCACTAGCCCAGGTTGCTCCAAGCCCCATCCAACACAGACTTAAAACACTTCCAGGGATGGAGCAGCCACAGCTTCTCTGAGCAACCAGTGCCAGTGTCTCAGCACCCTCACAGGGAACAATTTCTTCCCAATATCTAATCTAAACCTCCTCTCCAATATCAATTTGTAATTGATAAAAGTAATTAAGTTTACTCAAAGTTTTTTTAGGGTTATATGATCAAATTATGTAGCCACAACCACTAACTGTGAAACTCTCGAGTCACACATGGGAGCAACACTCAGTTTTAGCAAGGCCAATTGCACAACAGAGAAAGGAGCTCAGTTGATAGGTCAAGTTTAATCATCAGTGTCAAATGAAGGAGTTTAGCAAAGATCCTCAAAACCTGGAATCCCCTTGGAGAAGGCATGTTGCATCTAGCTGAATGTAAGAAATAATGAGATATCCATCAGCACAGCAGCAACAGAGAGGTCATTGTGCTTTCCTTCCCATTACAACACAGTTCAGCAGAGCCTTTCAGAGCTTGAAAGTATCACAGAGCATCTGACAGCTGATTAGTCTCCACTGCTAATGAACTGGGTCATTCCCAAGGAGGAACTGTGTTCTTTTCCTGACAAAAAAATCTACTTTTTAACTTGCAGAGCTTTAATTACACAAGGAGATACAGGCAGGGGTTTCTCTGTTTCTTTATTGCATAGTTGCACACTAATGTAACAGTGTAAATTCAGCAGCTAAAAGTTTCTAGGCATCAGGGAAAACTGAGGGAAAAGGCTGTAGCCCAGGAGAACAAAAGGAATTCCCTGGTACAGATACAGTCTGCAAAGACATTGATTTCAGTATATTATGACTGGGCAAACAACATACATTAAACACACAATGTAGTAACTGCCACCGAAAGGAGTTGTTCCAACTATGAAGTCACCAAGAACAAGATAAGAGCAGCACCTAACAGGAATATTCAAAGGCCAACACAGATCTGTGCTCAGAACCTTTTCCTCCCTTTTCAGTAAGTTGTCCCCAAATTATTCCTATTACAGCCTTTAATTCCCAGTACTTATTGCCACAGGAATTGTCTCCTGCAGCATTAAGTAACAAAAGTGACTATTATGCAAAGAGAATACAAATATGTGCTTTGACCCTTTGGTCTTGTACCACCCAGAAGAGCCCAAAGATTCTTCTTTCCAACAGAGTTTCACTTAGTTGTGCAAAATCACCACTAATGTTACATCCAGTCTAGCAATCACATTGGCTTACACACACACAAGTGAGAGAACAAGGCACATCTATCCCATCTCCTGCTTTACCTACATGTGCATATAGTAATACACAATTATTTTCCTGAGGTTAGCACTCAAGGCTAATAAAGTCATTGTACCATAAAAGTTAAAGTAAAAAAGGCCCCCAAAATATCCTTTCTGTTCATTTCCAGACTAATTTCAACAACAATCTGCCCTGCAACTGAGCTCCTTACCCAGGGAGGCCAAAACACTACACAGACTCAAGAAACAGCAAAATAACTGTAATAGAAAATCCCTGTAAGGTTATTCTTGTAGAAAAAAATTACCTCTATTTTGCTAAGTTGACCCTGTTTCCAGATATTTGAAGTGCTCAGTGCTGAAATTGGAATGAATTACTTTTATGTCAGTAAAAATAGATGTGATTTTATCTAACTATGGAGTAAAGCTTAAGTGTATGAGTGGGTAATTCACCTGTCCTCTAACAAAACCTCCATGACAATACTGTAAAAAAGTAAAGCTCTAGGAGAACTTTAAATGGATCACTGGAAAGGGAATGTTCCACATCACCTCTGATGGACTGGTGAGGGTGTTAAAGAGATTTACACACCCAGGAGGAAAACTGGGGTCAGTGGAGCAAACCAAACCATGGAGAACTCACTGGGGTGGGAAGATACTATGAAGCATCTGGAGGTTAAACATTTACACCCTGGTAGCTCCCTCAGAACAAAATGTGGATTTGTTGGGAAATCTAGACTGACTAGTGATTCTTCCAAACTCAGTGGAGCGGACACCCAAAAACTTGGGGAAAATTACCAAGGCAACTAAGAAACTGAGCAAGTGCATGAAGCTTTTTAAAAGACCCATTAATATATGACAGAGACATTGATCACCCAGAGCTGCTGAGCCAGCTGCATTTTAAATATAAGGCAACATTAAGATCTCTTCATATTACAATATTCCCCATGAGTAGCAAGGGGTCTGAGCCACTGACACCTTTCCCCAGGGTCCTCCTCAGAAAAGTGTTTGCAAGAACAGCACTGGAGAAAACCCTCTGACTTAATGACTAGATCACATGCATTCAAGCAAAAAGCAGAATAATTCCTTTCCTATTGCCAGAACTGTAGATATTCCTTCCAATTTGTTTTGGAACCTGTTACTCTCCAGCAAAATCATCACTGATTTGATGCTGCAGACTAGGAATGAAGGAAAATATTTGTATGCTGATGCCAAAGATTGCAGAGTTCAACTGAGATCATGGAATCATAGAATCATGGAATAGTTTGGGTTGGAAGGACCTTAAAGATCACCTTGTTTCACCTCCTGCCATGGACAGGGACACTTCCCACTAGCCCAGATTGCTCCAAGTCCCATCCAAAGAGAGATGGAGCAACCAAGTTGTAGAGTTCAACCAAGATGATAAGGTGCAACCAAGCAGTGAGAGCTTGGGAGAAGTAATGAGACAAAAGAGATTTCGCCACATTGGATTTAGCACACAGGAAAATATACTACAGTGGGATAGAGGGAGATTTTCCTACATTTACCAAGTGGAATCACTCCAAAGTTAAGTGGCCACATTTCAAATTGCCAAGGAAAAAGGCACAACTGTTGCACTGTCACAACAGTCTGAGGTAGAGCTACTAAGGAAGGATCTGGGCACTTAACTGGTTAAACAAGACTATTCCCAAACCTTAAAATCATCAGGGTCACACTACAAAGTGTTAAAGTGCTTTTAAACTGAACACTTGGACATTTAAAACAAAAGTACCAATTCTAAAGGTCTGGATTTAGCATTGACAAACCAGTGGCTTCACTTGAATCCCACCAGCAACCACAAGGAGCTCAAGTAACATCTGTTCCTCAAGAAGACTCAAATCAAGATCACACAATGTGGTGACAGACAGACCTGCTTCTCATCAGAGATCTGAGTAAACAGCTGGTACATGAGTTCCATGCACACTGTGAAATACAGCAAAGCATAAAAAGCCAGTGGCAAAGGTGCTGTGAGAGACAATTAGGCCTAGTAGTAGTAGTAGTAGTAGTAGTAGTAGCAGTAGTAGTAGTGTGGCACAGAGGTAGATACTACTTGTGGCAATTGGACTCTAAGTCTAGGATAAGCCTTCAGGGCTGCAGCTTGCACAGCAGTTTTGTTTGGTCCACAGTTAATTCCAACTACCACTGAACTTCACTACCATAAGGTGCTGTAAATACAGACTGGTCCACATCTGTGCTGAAACTGGTTAAGGCTTTTTATAAGGAATTACATCTTAAGGCAAAACTTTGATGAGAGCACTGGTGCTCTGAGTTACTGAAAGCAAAACCTTCCTGAGTGCTGCATTTTGTCCATATTTTCCTAGCACAGGTTTCAGAAATTGGTTTGGTTTGGTTTTTTTCCCCCCCATAAATCCTGTTGGGAGGTTCGGCTAAGCCTTAGCTAATTTTGTTTTCCTTTGATGTGATCAGTTTTCTGGGATCAATGGGATATTTTCAACTAATTTGCTGCTCTTGCCAACTTGAGATATCGGTGAATTCTCTCTCCTGATACATTATTAACACAGGAAAAGAAAAGCTGCCAGAGCTAAAAGCTTCTACATTTGTTAAAAGGGTTTGAAAAAAAAGTCTTATAGCCTGTTGTGTGTTAGAGTGGAAATTCTGTGACCTCCAGATCAAACATGGATTCTGCAGCCAATAGAATGAAAAGAGGTTAGATCTAGAAGTCAGTTTTGTCCTTCCTCTCATCATCCAAGGAAAAAAGGATAAAATGTCTCTCTATGCGACTGGAGGAAAATAGTTCTTTTCCAGTTCTCTTCCCAGACCTCAAACAATCCCACAAAAGGACCTGATGAGTATTAATACTTTTCACTTCCTCATACTTACTCCTTGCTAACAAGTTTCCAGCTCTCCTAGCTTTATTTTCCCTGTAACTGCCAAAATAATTCCTTATTTCTCCCCTTTACCTGCGAAAAAAAAAGTCCTTATAGCTCCCGGCCTTAAAGCAAGTCAATTTGTTAAGGCTTAATATTATTTACTTCTTAAAAAAAGCAAAACTAAACAACCCCAGAGCTTAGCAAAGGGCACCTAGAGCTGACAGTGAGTGGCTGTGGAACCACACGGATACACAGGCTGCAGGAGAAGGAAGAATGATTGGAAATACAAAGTCATGTCCAGGTGGTGCAGGCTGGAGGGATGTCTGCTGAGCCAGCTATGGCCTGACCTGCTCAGCGTGGTCCTGGGGCTGCACTGCAGAGTCCAGGAGGTGCCTGGTCTGGAAGGAGCAGCGGACGGTTCGGTTCATCAGGGGCTGCAGAGGACGGAAGTTGTCCACCATCCTCTTCTCCTCTTCACCATCTGAAGTGAAGAGCAGCATCCGGAATGCCTCCAGCTGAGAAGGAGAAATGGCCAGGCTGTAACTTCACAGAGTCACAAGTAGAGAATCACACAATAATTCAGTTGGAAAAGGCCTCTGAGAGCATGCAGTCCAACCAAGACTTTACTAACTGGAGAGTTATTGGAGTTCATGACTAAACCATTTATTCTTGGAGAAGAAGAGAAATCAAAGGCATTACACTTGCACTCTGAGAAATTTTGGCACAAACTTCTATCACTGCTTTGTCTCCTGCTGGTAAAGTTCAGCCCACCATCCACACCAGTGCAATGAATTGTCATCTGTCATTTTCAGGCAAATTAAATCCCAACTGTGGCACAGCTGGTACAGATCTGATTCCCAGTCAAATACTGGAACATGTGTCATCTTTAAATCAACCTCTCCAACCCTGATTTACACCATTCGTGAGTATCCTATAGACATCCAGTACTGGCACCCAGAGAAGAGGCAATCTCAAGGAGCAACAACCCACATAGTCGTTCTCTCAGTGGTTTATAGCTGGGATTAAGATAAACCATGCAGCAGAGCAGCTTTGGGTGCTCACAGAGGCACTGCAATGTTATGCCTGAACAGAATGAGAGAAAAGAGACAATAAAATGAGAAAAATGAGAAGAATTTCAGTTTGAAAGAAGAATGATACACTGTGCCTGCAGTTCTCTGCTCAAGTAACAATCACCATCTCTACCCATCCTGTTCCATTATGGAAATGAAAACATTAAGATCACTACAGGTTTATCCATCAGCTACTGTTTGTTTGGAGAGGACCTTCTAGATAGACTAACTCCATGCAAAAGCTGTACTAAAATAAATAAATCTATATTTTGCCTCATGTCATTGGACTCTGACTTTATTATTAAGCCTCAAAAGGGACAATGTACTGATAATTTTCAGTGCCTCTTAAACCATGAACAAGTGGTAGATTTTAGGGTTGTTCACTTTGACTTGTTTGCAGCAATTTCCAAGACTTATTCTACGCTGTGATGCCCCTTGAAGTACTCTCCACTTCTCTGAATAGACAAAAAATCCTGAGACCTTCCAACAACACCCACAGCTGTAGTACAATTCCCATGAATTCCCTTTCTGCCCCTTTTCCACTTGTCCCTACATCTACTTTATACCTTTGTCACATGAAGAACACAGGATCAGCCCTTGCAGTTTCTGCAAGGTTTCTGTGCAAGTGCACGCGGCTATCAAGGATTTGCATAAAGATGCACTCAGGGTGTGGAATTTCACTAAACCTTTCCTTCCTTCTCCCTTCTCTCCACAAAAAGGTGAAGAAAGCAAAAATTATGCAGTATCAAATAAATAACCTTAGAAGCTTCAAAAACCTGATTAGTTTTCTAGGAGCAGCTTCCATTGCAAGGCATTGCTTATCTCAGATCAAGATACAACTCTTGAGGAAAGCTGGAAAAGTTGAGAGCTGGAGAAATGTCTGGAAGAGGTCTGAAGTCTTTCAATATTAGCTGCTGTTAATGTCAGGATTTCTCCCCAGATCCTGGTGTGAAGCAGCAATGGATCAATGTGTATTCAGAGCAACTACTCCTGTGCATCTTTCCCTCTATGGCAGCAACAGGAATGATGTGAAAGGGAAACCTGGGACTTACCTGATCCTCATCCACCTCTATTGGCTTCTTCTTAATGATCCACGTGACAGATTCAGTGAGCGGAGGAGTGGTCAAGGATCCTGCATAGGTCCAATAATCAGGGCAGGAAGGCAGCAAACAGGAGGGATCAAAGACATCAAACTCGATGACAGTGTCCTAAACACCAGGAGAAAATATTTAAGAGTTGTGTTCTGAGGATAACAATAGGAGAGAATAGTCAAAAAGATCTCGACAATGAGATTAAATACTGTGTGTGTTATGTAGAGAATAGTCAAAAAGATCTCGACAATTAGATTAAATACTGTGTGCGTTATGTGTGTGATGCCAAGAAAAGGCTGGAAAAGAACTACTCACAGACTTGCATCTCTGAGTAGCAGGTATTTGTTTATTCAGCGCTGGGCGCAAGGGGGATTGCTCCACCAAACTTGCGCTATCAGAGAAAAAAAACTTTACAGTTTATATACATTAGGTGTCCATGCATATTCATTATTCCCAGGAATGGGTGGTTGCTATTATAATTAGTTCTTAGAAGTC